ACTGACTGGGACAACTGACTATGAGGGGTGGAATAAATGTGTTTGAAATGCAAAAAGAAACGTTTTGCATATCGTTGTTGATTTTTGCAGTCCCTCCCACGCACGTGGTGATCAACGGGTCGGCGGAGGCGCGCGTCGGCGACGTGGTGCCGCTCACCTGCACCACGGACAACTCGAACCCGCCCGCCGAGATCCGGTGGACGGTGGGCGGCAAGCAGGTGCACAACGCGACTTCGAGGAGTGTGCAGGCCAAGGCGGGCGGCTGGATCACCACCTCGGACCTCGTCACCGTCATCCCGCCCGGGCCGCGCTCCGTGATCGTGGTCTGCCACGGCCTCAACATGGACACGGCCGTGGGCACGCACACCATCGAGGTTCAATGTACGTACGCCGAGCATTATGCGCGCATGCTTTTATTTTCCAATATTTGTAATTTAAAAAAAAAACAAAAACATTTTCATTCCTTGTCATAATTTTAAAATTTTTGTATTTTTGCAGATCCCCCCACTTCTCTCATGATTCACGGGTACAAGCCTGGCGCAAGCATCGCGGGCGGCACCCGCCAGAGGATAACGTGCGTGTCGACGGGCGGCAACCCCCCGGCCACCCTAACCTGGTTCAAAAACGACAAGAAGGTAACGCAGAGATTTGTCATTGTCATCGTCGTTGGTAGTTTTCTTGCTTTTATTGTCACACCAGAATCGCTTCTACTCTGTTTTTTTCTATGGCTGTTGCAGATAAGCTCAACATCGAAAATCTTGGACAAATCAGTGTCTGCTGAAGTAGATTTTATTGCCAATGCAACTGATAATGAAGCAAGATACAAGTGCGAAGGTGCAAACAAGGCAACAGAGATTCCCCTCACTGAAGAAGTGAAGCTTAGTGTGCTCTGTAAGTTTAGAATAGTGATTTGTTGCAACATTTTTGCCATCGTTCCAGTCATAAATCAAGTATCTAAACTAATATTTCTTTCAACCAGTTCCCCCAGACCGGGTGCAAATTAAGAAAGAGCCAGCCGTTCTGAAACCAGGACAGTCAGCCACACTAACATGCGACTCATCGTCAAGTAACCCGCCCGCCGTTTTAACTTGGTGGAGAGATGGTATTCCAGTTCAGGTAAGTCGATTGCATGTTCGTCCGTACGTTCCCCGTAGGCGATGCTACCAGGGCGGGCCACCGGCCCCACACAGCTGCTTGGCGGGATGGCCTACCCAGCGTGCTGCAGGCGCTACCGAGCCGTGGAAGTTAAATTAATATCTTTCAAATGTCTCTGACAGGGAACAACAAATTCGTCATCCAAAGGATTGCATGGTGGTATGGTTTCAACTGTTAAAGTTACCATTGATGTGAATTCTGATCTGAATGGTATTGTATACACTTGCCAAGCCATGAATGAAGTGCTTCAACGCAGTGTACATGATGCAATTACATTGGACGTGCTATGTAAGTAAACCTTAGATTTAGATACTTTTCTATTTACAATACTATTTAGAGACTGCAACGTTACAGTTTTGTTGCTTGTAATTTTTTACAGACAAACCTATTTTTGATCATGAGCCTGCTGAACCATTCAACGGTGTCGAGGGGCAGCCTCTGCTTGTAGCTTTGCAGGCCCATGGCAACCCCTCTAACATGACCTTTTTATGGAAAAAAGATGGAAAAGCTCTAACTCATTCCTCAGAGAGCCATTCAAGAGTTCTGATTGATGGACCGATGCTCAACATATCCTCATTGACCAAAGATGACACTGGCTTATACACCTGTGAAGCTGCCAATAGTGAAGGAGCCACAAGCATCCAAATAAATATCTCAGTAAATTGTAAGTAGAACATTGGGAAAAGAAATCATTAAAAAGTAAAGAAGTAGCCTAAATTCATAGATACTAAACCTCTCACATTTTTTACAGACCCTGCTAGAATTACTGGTCTTACCACTGAGACACTTGTATCAGTTGGTGAAGAAGCCACTTTAAATTGCACAGCAGATGGGAATCCACTGAAAGCTGACCACATTACATGGAGAAGAGAAGGCTTTGAAATGGCAGCCAAAACTGCAACTGTTTTCAGAAACAACACATCATATTTAACAATTCATAAGGCATCCAAGGAAGATATTGGAGCTTTTTTATGTGTTGTGAACAATGATCTGGGAAATGAAACAAGTGCAAAAGCATTTCTTCTTGTAAAACGTAAGGCTGCATGTCCACACATGAAATTATGTATTATTTTCATCATCTTGATGTTTTTTCTGTAAATCCTGGAATCTTAGCTTCCATATAATTTTAAAAACTTTTTCCAGATAAACCAGACATTGATCTATCTCCAGTGCTTGCAAAGGCAGCTTCTAATGTCGGAGATACTGCTAGACTCACATGTCGGGCAAAGGGTGCCCCTGAAGTAAGATTTAGCTGGTCACGAGATGGTTCTGTAATACCAGCCAATTCCTCACTTAAATACACTCTCAACCAACACAAGGTAGAACTCTTTCATTTTTACTTAACTTTACTTTTTTTGTCACATTTTTCAGTTACTAATTTTTTGTAATTCTTTGTGTCTGTTGCAGGTTGACATTCTTACTTTTGAGTCAGTATTGCAAGTTCTTAAAGTAGAACAGGCTGACTTTGGACAATACCAGTGTAAAGCTCAAAACGAAATTGGGTTTACCACTCACTCTGTAAAACTGGATATCACGTCGAAACCTGATTCACCAACCAACTTGGTTGCTAATGACACTACTCATAACTCTGTTGCTCTATCCTGGACCCCAGGGTTTGATGGGGGTCTCCAAACAACATTCAGAATAAGATACAAACCCTCTGGTTCCACCAATGAAGCATACCAGTATGTAGATGTAGTACCACCCAACGCAACCACTTTTGTAATCAGAAATTTGGATCTTGCCACTGAGTACATTTTCTCAGCAATGGCACAGAATAAACAAGGATCTAGTGAATATGCTGGTCATTTAAAAGCACACACAACAAGTAAGTACAGTAGTTGCAATTGAAATGTAGCTTGATAAATAAAGTTATGAAAAAACATTTTTTTATTGGGCATGGGGCCCTTAAACTCCATAACAAGTAACATTTTATTTAATCAAGAAGTTTGTGTATGAGATTTGATATGTGACGGATGAAACATTTGAATGTTTCCTTATCAGTATTTTAATCATTTATCTAATCTCTGTTGGGGCATCTGCCTTGATTGTTGTAAAACATGAATTTTTAAATTACACTTTGGCCATCTTGCACAGATGAAGCCCCTCCTCCAATACCTGCTGGGAGCAGCATGAGCCAAGGTCCATGGATAGTTGTATCAGTGGCTGTTGGTGGCGTTATGATTGTCCTGTTGAACGTGCTGCTCATAAGCTGCTGCTTAAGAAAGCATGCACGAAAGCGACTTACTGGTGAGTTGTACTTTCTCTCATTACTCAAAAGTGTCTTCACTGTTTTGCAGATGGTGCGGAAATTTTGTCTGAGGAGCTCTTAGGAAGAGCAGACCTTCCTCGTCTTGTCGTAGTGAGTGTAGCCATCACAGGATCGATCCTTCTGTTCCTCAACATATTATTGGTTGGATGCTTTATGTATAGGAAACGTAGGCAAAGACTACGAGAAGGTGTGTCTTCATTTGTTTAAAATGCTTTGCAGCATTTTTTGGGCCCTGCTGGTGATGGTTTCGCTGACCTGCTGTAAATGTGCTACTGGCATCCTTCCGTGCTGTGGAAAGTCTGTTGTGGTTGTGGCTCCTCTTTGCTGTTTTCTTTTCCATGGTACCTTCCCTTACTCAAATTCCTTGGAAATATGATGAATACTCTTCATTCCATTTGCCAGGTGCTGATGGTGTTCGTTCCTTCCTCTAATTTCCTTAACCTGTGAAATTAATGTCACGTGCTTAAAGCAGCTTTTCACTACCATTGTGGGTCTCTTTCTTTCCTGGAACATACTATACGTGCATTCTGTTCCAAATACATAGTGTTAGCTCTTGTGCTTTATTTGGTTGTGTGTTAGCACATACCTAATTTTAATTTTTGATGATCAAGAAGAAAATATTTTTTTTTTCTTAAACAAAATGTTGATTTGTTTCAGCAGCCAGCGAGCAGAGCAGTAGCAAGTCTGCAACAATTGAAATGTATGCTCCGAGTAGCTACAATGAAACTGTGACAGGAGAGACTCTAAGTTCAGTCTCTGAGAAAAGTGAAAGCTACTCAAATGCAGATAGCAATCCTGATTATTTGGTGAGAAAACAGGTGAAGAGGTTTTTCTACTACACTCATTATTAGATGCTGTGTAGTGTGAATTAGTTATGCTGAGCCCTGGCATTAAGTGCACATTTCTATTATATATTAGTACTACTGTAATTATTTTTAAAATGTTTTTTAATTTCATTTCTAATTTTATTTTAAAAACTTCCGTTTTTAAAGAAAGTTTTTTCTATTTTTTGTATGTGTGCAATTTGCTTTGGCTGCCATATCAGCCTCTTTCACCTATTATTTTTAATTTGATTTTGACTTGCAGTGCTTATTGTCTTTTTGCTACTAGTTGTTATGTAGGAATTAAATCATCTTGACATGCTTCTTACTCTTTTTCTTCTTCGTAGGAGGATGGAAGGAAACCTGCAGCCAGTACTTACTTGATTGATCAAATTGATTATCCTTTTGAGTACTGTGGCTTTGAAATGCAGCATCAACACAATCATCAGCTTCCAAGTCATCCTCATCACCATATTGGAAATAACACCCTGAAACCTCCCTTAGCAGATTCTGTTAACTCTGTAAATTCTGGCACGCTCAGAAAACATCAAACTAACTACAACAACCACAATACAGGAGGTGAGCTAAAATTTTGATTGATACTGCTTATATCCCTATGTCAACTTTTTCAAAATATACTTTCCTCTTTCTTCTAGGGGTCCAACCTGGGGGAGATGGTTTTTATGGAATTTCTCCGGATGCAAGGTACATTGCATACCCTCCCCCCGCAGAGTTTTCTCAACCAACTGGGAATGGCACACTGCGAAGAGGGCAGCATCTCACCTCGATGGGAACAGGTCCTGTTGGTGTACCTCCCGATGTGACTGTTCTACATAACCCTCCAATTCCTCCTCCACCACTACTATCAACATTTAGCTATCCAGCAATGGAAACAGAGGGTCATTTAGTGTGACCCAGTGAAAATACTGATGTGAGTGATGAGAACTCTTCTGCTCACATTGTCTTTCAGCTCAGACTGTGATTTCAGTGTCTACCCACTGCCACAAACCAAACTAATAATTATCTGTTACATTGTGTAAGCACAGGACACTTTTGTGCTAGTGTGGCTTTTGAATGTTGATTTTGTGTGTTTGTTGAAGAAATGGTTTGGTTGTTTTAATGGGCTTTTGCCTCCATTTCAGGCAAAAACCTATTGAAAAGCTCATATAAAAAATTGAGGCAGTTTATGTAGACTAGCCTTGAAACAAACAGGGTTTTTTAAAAACATATTGTTTTTTTTTCTTTTTGTATTCTTTCTGCTTGTTTTGGAATACTTGTACAAAGTATTAAAAATTAGATAGGGATTTTCTATTAAGTATTTTTCCATTTGAAGTATTGCTAGAATATTGAAGCAATTGAACCATTGTAATTAAGGGAGTAAAGATGTGTCCTCCCTCATACTGATCTATGCTGACTTGTTAGTCCATCCAAGTATTGTCAATGTAGAAATTCTTGAAAATGAATTCAACCTAAATGTGAGACTTACATTAAAATTATGTTGTTTGTCTGTGTCAGCATGTGATCAATAATGCTTAAATACTGGACTGATGCATACTATACATTTGTGTTATTTGCTCACAAGAAGGCAAAATAATTTTTGTAGATAATAGTTAATTGAGATGTGGTGCTATTCTGTCAAAGTGTACAGTAAATTCATTCAATGTACAGTTACTTTAAGTGTTGTGTACATAGGTGATGTCCATCAAGTGGATTAATGATGCACTTGAAATGAATGAAGTGAAACAAGTAGAGGCATGTTCAAAAGTAACAGTTTTCTTTTAAATGTATTATTTCTCTCATAAAATATCTTGAGTGCGTGAGTGAGCTAGTCTTCAGTGTATACCAAAGCTGTGGGTCAGATGAATGTCAGCAGGCAGTTGCATGTGATTCCTTTGTTGTTGTTTTTTTTCCTTTTTGTTTCATAAAGAGGCAATACTTTATGTTTACTGGTAACTTGCAAAAACCTGAAGCAATAGACCATTTCACCTTTGCTGTCACCTCTTACTAAGAACAGGGGTCTAACCGTTTGCATGAATAATTGATTTGTTAGTTCATATTCAACTTACTCAGTTGCTGTTATTAAGAACTAAAAATTATGCTAATTTCTGTGTTGGGCGGTTATGAGTGCACAGGTGAAATAGTCTCGAAAGACAACTTTATAAAGAATTCATCTGTGAGTGACAAACCAAGATTCAATAATTGGTACAACTTACATCTCACATAAAAGTGTACTATTATTCTAAAATGAAGTAACTTTGAATATCTATCTATCTCTATCTATTTAAACTCAGACTCGTGATCAATCAAGCTCTGCTAAAAAAGATATATATTAATAATTTGCACTATCCTCTCTTCTTCCAACCTAAAACTGAAAGTGATGGTCACCAAAGTATTACAAGGTAGTAAAAATGTTTGTCTATTTGTGATAAAAGAATTTTAAGAAGCCTCACTTATTATTCAACATTTATCAATATTCATGCATTCATGCATTCATTGTAGTAACAGTAAAGCATCAAAATGAAAATGCTTAAAAATTGCAAGAATTATGGGACACTGTAAAGGTTTCAATATTACCATCATTCTCAGACTGCTTTATACTTTCCCAGTTGCATTGCCTCAAAGCATAATTAAGACCTAATTTAAAATGACTGCCAATTATCTTGTATTTTAATTTCTGAACTCTTAATTTGTGATTCTTATTGAAAATGATAATCACAGAATGGATTGTTAAAGAACTCCAGTGAACTCCAGTGTAAAATTTTTGATCTCATCTCAGATGTTCCGTGATGTAAAATATTGGTGTGATGTGCACCCTAGGTAAAGTTAGGATCTTGTTTAAGTTTGTCTCCTGTTATTTTTTACCTCAATTTACATCATTCTGTACTCCAAAGGAGCAAATTAAAATCAAATACTAAAACTGACTTACTTCCTCTTTGATAACCCTCTCTGGTTCCGGCCCTCCCTTCTGGGCTAAAAACAAAGTGCCTGGGCCGCATGCGCCGGGCCCGCCCTCACACCTCCGCCACATACGTCTCGAGGGTTTCTCAAAAATCATTTTTGTGATGGGATAGATAAAATTATGCCACATCTCTCTGACTTGGCTTCTTTTTGTGACAGTGGCGCACATACCAGGTGGCTGATTCACGCCGCGCACTTTCGCAGCTATACTGTACCGCATGCACGAGTGCGGCCGGGTTTGCCTATGCTCGCTGCCCACGGCTCCTTATAGCCCCTTGCGAGTAGGCGACCCGCCCGCACGCGTGCATGCGGTACAGTACAACTACGAAAGTGCGCGGCGTGAATCAGCCACCTGGTAGGTCGTTTTGCTCTGCGGGGCAGCCAGCCAGGTC